TATACACACACACACTATATATGGTAATTGATTGAATATAATTAATGCCAACAATCATTTTTTTGAAAATGAGTTTTGTAGAGGTGAAATGTTTTGAAAAGTTGGTTTTATTGTATTTGACAGTTAATATGGCCTCTAATCACCAAAAAGTGATTGGTTAACATTAAAAGCTGTTTTATTTTATTTTAAATGTTTTAAAAATATATTTTCTTTTGACAATCAAAAACAATCACAACTGTGCTAATGATTTTTATATTTTCATTTTTTAAATTGCTTTGAGTTTTAATTACTCAGACATGGTTTTTATGTTTATCTTCTGTTAAAACAGAAGATTAAAGCTTCTAATCATAGAGTCTTGCTTAACAAAAGCAAAACATTTAAGGGGCCTTTTTTTTTGCAATCAAATGGTTTAACAGTCAATGTCATTTATGAGGAAAAATAGTTTTCTTCTGAAATCTGTTTGGTAAGGCCATCTTGCATTTAAACAGAATTGGTAACCAGCAGCTTATTTTAATTACACTCTCTTCTGAAAGTCATTACACTTGGCGTTCACCTGCTGAGACCTTGATTGTTTGAACTGCTGGTTGAATACATACGTGACACTGTAAAATAGGTATGTTGTTTGCTTGTGTTAATTAGACCTTTCTCACTAATTACTAAAATCATTTAATAAATAAAGAACAGAGTTTAGAGCAGTCCATCAAATATCCCATTAAGGCTTCTCTAATATTTTTTTTTCTATGCAGTTATTCAGTCATTCAGTTATTTCTCCACTAGAGGATGCTGTTGTTTCTTTTTAGAGGCAAATCTAAACCTATACTTAAACAACTGACTGAGAAAAGTGGGATACTGGGACCTGTGCCCCTTTCCTCTCTGTCTTTTTATGTAGTGGGGAGAAAGTAATGAAAATCTAATAGCTTTATATAACTACTACATAACTACTTTCTCTGCTTTACCAGCTGTGTCATTACGTTACACAATACAAACAACCCTCTCATTATGCTCTCTTATGCTCACTTGAGAGATTCGTTGAACTTTCTCGTACTCAAGGGTACGTATAAAGAGTTCTCTGAGCAACAGATCATCACATATTTGCTGTTTGCAGCACAGAGGGGAATTCAGCTAAGTGTGAAAATTTATGAATCTTAAAAGGCAACAAGAAACCTCTTTCTCTCTGCTTCTGAGAACTAATTAGATAATGAGAGAAACACTAAGGCTGTGTTCAGAATAACAATATTCTTATTATTCATGCAGTTTATAGTGTGGGATAGTGTTTAGAATATATAGTGTGTAAGCAAGGATGCATTAAATTGATTACAAGTGATAGTAAAGACCTTTTCAAAATATTTTTATTTCTGATAAATGCTGTTCTTTTGAATTATCGAAAAAAGTTCAACATTAGAAATTATTTCTAATGAGCATATTAGAATGATTTCTAAAGGATCATGTGACACTGGAGACTGGAGTAATGACTGCTGAAAATTCAGCTTCACAGGAATAAATTACAAAATAAAAAACAGTTAATTTAAATGCCAATTTTTTTTTTCAATATTACAGTTTTACTGTATTTTTGATCAAATAAATGCAACCACAGTGGGCATAACAGAATTCTTTCAAAAACACAAAAAAAAATCTTACTGACCCCAAACTTTTGAACAATAGTGCAGATACCTAGAACTCGATACCTGTTTGTCTAAAAAAGAAAGTCAAATACATCTAGGACAGTTCAAGGGTGAATAATTTTTTTTTTTTTTTGCTGGAGTATCCCTTTAAAGCAGGGGTCTCAACTCAGTTCCTGGAGGGCCACAGCTCTGCAGAGTTTAGCTCCAACCAGGTCCAACTCACACCTGCTTGGAAGTTTCTAGTAATCCTAAAGAGCTTGATTAGCTGGATTGGGTATGTTTGATTTGGGTTGGAGCTAAAATGGGCAGAGCTGTGGCCCTCCAGGAATTGAGTTTGAGACCAATGCTTTAAAGAATAGTATGCAGTGTATACTGTACAGTATACAGTAAATAGTAAGCTAGTATTTAATTCCCAACAGTCTGACACAATCCTTCTGTCCACAGATGCGACGAGGATGTGAATGAGTGTGAGAGGGAGGAGTGTGAGAATGGAGGGACATGTGTGAACACATTCGGAGCCTTCTACTGTAACTGCACCATTGGTTTCGAGGGTCAATTTTGTGGCCAGCCGTCTCTGGACGGCCCAGACACTCAGGCCGAGGTCCTGTCGTACGTCGGACTGGGAGAGATCATCGGCATTGGCGTGTTGCTCTTTGTGGTGTTGGTCCTGCTGACCCTGCTGGCCGCGTTCCGCAAAAAAGTCCTCCGGAAGGACTGGAGCCGCAGGGAGACAGTGGGAATCTCCACAGAGACCAACTACATGCTGCATAACACGGGTATAGGAGCCGAAGGCATCGAGTTCAAAGCTGTACGGGTCAGCAGCGAGTGTCGCGCCAGCCTCTCCCGAAACGACAGCGCAGGAGGGCCGCCGCAGGTCATGGTGCGGCCCACAGCCTACACGCTTCCCCACTGCCAGGGAATCCCTAGAGGGGAAACGGAAAAGATGGAGGAAGGGCTGGCCACCCTCTCCTGCCCTCCGCAGATGAGCACCTTCCAGGCGGATCCGCCACACATCCTCGGGATGCCGCGGAGAGGTGTGGCCGTCTGCAGCGTGGCGCCCAATCTTCCCCCGTCTTTGTCCTTGAACCCGTCCGAACGCAGCCCAATCCGCAAGCCTCCGTGGGAAGAGGACGACGATGAGGACAATGCTATAGAGCATCAAGTCCAAGCTCTGGAGTGGGAAGACAGGGGTTATCAGGCGGACGCAGAGGAAGCGTACAGAACCGAGGGTAATGATTTGGCGCACACACTTTCTATTCATCCCAGATCAAACGGAGGATGACAAAATGGCAGCGTTTCAGCGTGACTCCGTAACTCCCCGTGGCCAATTAAATGCCAGTCTTTGTGTGGATGAGATTATACATATGCACCACGGTCTCCATTTGGAAAAGCCATCTTACAATAATGTGTGATGGAGTGTAATTACCTTAGAGATAACACGAGGGTTTCACACAAAAGGAGAAAGTAAAGCATTTAGAGTGAATCCTCAAGATTCAAACAGAAACATCCATCCACATTGTGATAAATGCTATGCATAATGCGTTAATCGCAATATGTATATTAAAAAAAACTGGGTTTTAATCAAATCTCCCTTCACAATGAGTTTCTTTTTTATGATTTCATATTCAGCATTCTTGTGATTTTTCATATCTTGAAAATTTACCAGGGACTCAAAAATTGTTTCACAACAAACCAGATTATAGTAATAAGAACCATGTGCTGTGCTGTATCGTAGCACGAAATAGGCCAACAGGAGCCTTTCTCCTAATAAAATATTTAACAGTCTGGCCATGTAGGTTGGCAGCTAGTACATATGTGAAGGTGATTATTACACTTCCGCTTGTGGAAATGCATTACCTATGTAAGTTTTCTCTTCGATTTGTGTTCTCAAGTGGATGACCTTGGTCTTGTTAGTGTTTTCTTCAAGCAGAAATTAATTTGTCATGACTGGTTGTTAGCTTTTGCAGCGCGTAGTCTGGGATAAATATAGGACGGATATTATTGCTCTTTCACTTTAGCAGATTTGAAAGATTTTTATGCCGTAGAGAGTATTAAGCTGTAAATGCGGTTTTGTTTGTGCGTATGTGCGTGTCTGGTTTTTGGATATTAGATGTCTGTTTAGTGAATGCAAATGGGCCAGTAGTTCAGACTCCACATGGCAGTATTTTCACTGGCTTAAAAAACATTTTTTAGTTTGTTCAAAAGTGACCATAAAGACACAAACACATTAAACAACACAACTGTTTTCAGTGGTGAAAAATAATAAAAAATGCTTCTTGAACAGCAAATCAACATATTAGACTGATTTCTGAAGGATCATGTGACACTGGAGACTGGAATTATGGCTGCTGGAAATTCAGCTTTGCCATCACAGGAATAAATTACAAGTTAAAGAATGTTAAAATAGAAAACAGTTATTTTAAAATTGTAATAACATTTCACACTATTACTTATTAATATATTGTTTTTGCTGTATTTTACATTAAATTAATGCAGCCTTAGCATAAGAGACTTCTTTCAAAGACATAAAAAATATTACTGACCCTCAGTTTTTCCAAAAAATTTAAATGGTAGTGTAAATATATAT